CCATCATCTTTTTCGTGTTGGCGATCTGGTGGGACTCGATCAAGGGTCGGAGCGCGCTCTTCATCATCCTCTTTGGCCTAACGCTCTTCTTCTCCAACTTTGGCCCCAACATGTCGACGTTCGTCATGCCCACGGAGATGTACCCGACCGCCATCAAGAGCTCGTGCCACGGCTTCTCGGCCGCCATGGGCAAGGCGGGCGCGGCCATTGGCTCGTACGGCTTTGCGCACTGGGTGAAGGCACCCGGCTTTGGCTACGTTGGCACGTGGTACACGTTCGCAGGCATTTGCTTGTTGACGCTTCTCCTCACGTGGTTTTGCATGTTTGACAACAACGACGGCGACATGTCCAACATTGACAACGAGTTCAAGGCCAAGCTCGCGCTCGAGACGAACGAGACGCGCCAGTCGTTTGTCGCGGGGGACGAGCCACACGAGTTTGAAAAGGACGTGGGCTACGTCAAGGCGTAGTTGGTGGTTCCTTTCTCCAATCCAATTATTGTTATTTTGTATACTGTATCACGTCGTCTACCAAAGATAGACCATTTGGAAAACACACGATGTAGAACGGCGCCGACCAAACTCGCGGCGCCAACGTCGGGCTTGTCGCCCATCGCTTGGTCATTCATCGCGCGAGTACGGGCACTTGTCACACCTACAAAAGATATGTGACCATGATGGCAAGGAATGCCCAATCGCGCGCCTCATTCGAGCGCGTGGATGGATCATGGTGCCGAGATGGACTTGCATGGCGCTGCGGGCGTCGGTCGATTTTGTACTATAGTACGCTTGGCGAGATCGAGCCCCCTGACGATTAGTATGGCGAGGATAGTAGTACCGGACAAATCGTGCTTGCGCTTCCTATGCTGATGCGTCGTCGGACTCTGCGTGGACGCCGACCCGCTCCTGCGGCCGATTGCAGCAGACCTTGTCGAGCTGCTCCAAATACTTTATCGATGTTACCATGGGCCGCGCTGACTTCAGGTCGTCCTAAACAACAGCGTCAAGTAAATACAAGTGAAATCTACTCGACCGCTTTCAAACAACAGGTACAACAAGAACCTGCCCGACGCCACAGTGTCAGATGACGGACGAGTGGCCCGACTCTATACGTTTATATAGACTTGTGCGTCATGACATGAGCTCTCGCCATACAATCCACTCGTGTTGGACTCATCTATGCGTAAATGACATTAGACTACGTACTAGTAGTTTGCAATTGTACGGTACACTGTAGACACGTCCCATCATTTCCAGCAACGTTGAAGTTCACGCCTGGCTGGAAACGTGACGGAAAATGACAAAATCGGGTGCAAAACTGAGCAAACGCAGGCATCAACGAACTATTCTACGCCTGGTGGGCTTGGACACACAAACGTTCAATAAAATTTGAAGTGTAGCTGCACACGGTAGAGAGTGCGGTCGGTGGTTGCGGGTGGTATCCCTTCCAGTTTCGCATCGATCGGAAAGGGGGTGTTTCAAAGCGTAGCTTTGAAACTAGATTTTCTACCAATCGGGCAAGGAGCTGGCGCAAACGGACGGAGCCCAAAAGCTCCCAGTTTAGGATTTTCCTGCTCGGCAGCAAGCGGTTTTTCTAACCCGCCTCCTTCGCACTTGGCGGCGGTAATGTCAACACCACGTTCCCCCTCACGCGCGACGAAGATGTGGTAGAAAACAAACGCTGTAGAAGAAACCCAGGATTTAAACCCCTTTTTGTCTCTTTAATGCAATTTACACCTCTTCTTGTCATTTTCCGTGTCACGTCGTCCGTCCGAATTGCGATCGTCACGTGCCATTGCGATTTTTTGCTCAGCAAGCGCAAGGTGCAGCTTGCGCGACGATGCACCGCCATCTCACTCGTCTTCACCTCGTAGAACATGAGTCTTGTCGACGCAGTGACTCGTGGCGACACGGCAACCGTCGACGCGCTCCTCCTAGATGGCGCCGATCCCGACAGCTGCAACCCTGTAGCGTCGCCCCAACGATCCATGCTGACACGGAATGATCTAGGTCGGTAGCCCAGTGCTCTGTATCGCGGCGGCGGAAGGGCACGTCGACATTGCTGCACTGCTCCTCAAGGCGGGTGCCTCGGTCAACTTGCAACAACGGGTTCGCTTCTCGACTCCCGTACCTCGTCGTTGGCTCATGTTGGCCATTAGAGTGGGCAGACACCGCTCATGGGGGCTGCGCATTGTGGCCTTGTCGAGCTCGTGCGTCTGCTTCTCGACCACGATGCCGACGTCAACCACCCCAACCTGGTACATTCTGCGTGCACCGACCGCTTCACTGGGTTCGTAGACTGACACGGCACTCGGCTATGCAGTCAGCGGTGGCCACGAAGACGTTGTCGAGGAGCTCATTGCCGCGGGCGCAAATGTGCACGTGGACAATCAAGTGGTACGTGTCGAGCACACAGCGATGCCGACAGAATGGATTTAGACCAAAGTATCGCCCCTCTTGCTCGCCGCAAACCGAGGGTATGTGTCCATTGCCTCGCGACTGCTTGCAGCCGGCGCCACCGTTTCAAGTGTCGACAAGGTATATCGTTGCCGGCGATGGCGCGGTTGAGCAGAGTACACGACAGGATGGAAATGGGGTCGTGTTCCATGCCGCCAAGCAAGGTCACACCGACATGATCCGTTTTCTTGTGCGCAATAAGGCGGATCCGAATGCGACGTCACCGGTACACGACTGCGTCTTGATACGTTGGTCCATTGATACTATTAACAGTCGGGCACGTCGCCGTTGTGTGTCGCCAGCGCGACGGGACGAATCGACGCGATCAAAGCCTTGCTCGACGCCGGCGCCGACATCCGCCACCCTGCAGCGGTTCGATTATACTATGTTAAACCGAGACAAAGCTGACCGATGGTGTAGACCCCGTGCCTGCACGCGGCAGTGAGGTTTGACCACTCGGAGATTGTAGCCTTCCTGCTCCACGCCGGAGCCGACGTGAACGCAACGACCTCGGTTTGACTTGGTTCACTGCTCGACCTCAATTGAGATTGGATAGTTGGGCATCACAGCACTGCACACAGCTGCTCACTGTGGCCTCGCACACATTGTGCGCCAGCTAGCGTATGCGAGAGCCAAGCTCGACGCGCGGACCTTTGTACATACATCTGGAGGCCAATTGTCGCAGCACTTATCGTACGTGCAGGATGGAAAGACCGCCGTGACGTTTGCTCAAAACAAGGGGCATGCAGAGGTTCTCTCTGTCCTCTACGAAGTGCGCGTCAAGGTACTCTCCATCACGGCAGCGGCCATGACCAGCTAACTCGAGTATACGACGCAGAAAATGGAGCTGTTGCATGCAGCCCGCCACGGCGACGTCGACACCGTCCAAGCGCTGCTTGCCGAAGGTCTCAGCGTCAACGAGACCGACGAGGTACATCAGCACAACCACCCCCTTGCTGATGTGTCAGCTATAATAGCATGAGAATACGTTGCTCCATCTGGCACTCCTCGGTCGGCACGACGCGCTTGTGTCGGAGCTCCTAAAGTGCCCGTTGGTGGAGCTCTACGGCTGCAACGAGGTCTGGAAACCCCTCGAAACACCGAATCAAACACTCGTCTCTTGTGTAGTTTGGTGAATCCCCGGTAGCAATTGCGATCAAGTTGGGACATCAGTCGCTCGTTCGTGAGTTGCTCGCCACGCACGCTGCGATCGCTACCCAGGTACGATAACAACATACGTTGCCCGTTGCCCACATAAAGTATTAGGTGCCCGCACGTCTGACGGCAAAGCTGCAAATGCTCGGCCGCGGCAGCTACGGCATCGTCTTCAAAGATCAACTCTTCGGTCATGACGTGGCGGTCAAGACAGTCGTGAACTCGGATAGCGAGGCCGCCAAGACCCTCCAAGAGGAGATTGAGATCCTCACAAAGTGAGACACCTGCTGCGACTTGAGCTCGCATCACGCTGAACGTGGATAGCAATCCGTCGCCGTACCTTGTGCGGCTGCTTGCCACCGCCGACGCCAAGTCGGACGCGCCACAGCTCTTTTTCGAGTACATGGACGGCGGCAACCTTACCTCGTACCTCGAGAAGCTGGCCAACGACGAGTCTGTACCTCTGGCGTACACGCCTATTGAGATTCTCTGGGTCGTCGCCAACGCTTTGAACGACCTCCACGCCAAGAACGTTGTCCATCGCGACATCAAGCCCGACAACATCCTCCTCTCGTCCAAGTACTACATCAAGGTGGGTGACGTTGGCATCGCCAAGGAAGAAACGACGTGCATGACGACGGGTGCTGGCACGAGCAAGTGGCGAGCGCCCGAAGTCCTCATGTCCGGAAGCCGCTACGGCACACCCGCCGACATTTACTCGTTCGGGATCCTTCTCCAGACGCTTTACCCTAACCCTACCGATGCAAGCACCGAGTGGGTCCAAGCCCTCGCAGCGAAATGCACGACGGTCGAGCCTAAATGTCGCCCGACGGCGGCCGAGCTCGTCGACATCTTCCTGCCCAAGTTGCAGTCGTACGGTCTCGTATGTTTTGCAATGCGTAACTTGTCATGTGCTCTGTAGACAACGATACCTCATTGCATCGATGCCGATCTTTGAGAAAGCCCGAGCGGTGCATCGTTGCGTTAATGGTAATCGCCTCATCGCACCGCTGGCAACTAGGCGGGCCTCCAAGCGATCGAGCCCATCGTTGTGCCACAGCGAGAAGTGTCCGAGACGACGACGAGCAGCAACGAGCCCCCAATCATCCCAGCGGTATGCGTTTCTGCACCACTTGGGGGCGTCACAGTATCGTCGATAGCGCACTTCGCAGACCGAAGAGCGTCTCAGCGTACGTCTCTCTTCAACGACATTGGTGGCGAAACGTGATCGCTTCTTGTGTAGAAGGAGGCACAGTTCCTACATGCCGTGCACGTCGGCGACGTCGACGCGGTTCGCGCCTTCCTCGCAAGTGGGGTCCACCCCGATAGCTCGTATGAGGTGCGACACCGTGATCGCTTTGGATGCTAACTACATATTGCCAGTCGCGCGAAACTGGACTCTCGTTCGCCGTGTCCCGTGGCCACTGTGAGATGGTGGATGTGCTACTGGCATCCAATGCGAACGTCAACCTGGCGGCGACGGTACACGCGTCATCCTCCTCGTCATCCCTCTCCATCGAGACGTGCTGTTAGAACGGCTTGACGCCACTACACGAAGCAGCTCGACACAGCTCGGTCGCGGTGCTTCAAAAGCTCCTCCGCGTCCCCAACGTCCACCTCAATCCGCGCGATATCGTACGGCAGCTCCGTGCCATGGTCTCGTACAATTTGGTGTAGAAACAACGTACGCCGTTGCACTATGCGTTGTTGAGCAAGTTTCCGGCAAACGTTTTCGCGCTCGTGTGCGCTGGCGCCGACCTCGAAGCGGCCGACGACGTACTTTTTGCTGACAAGGCGAACGGAAAAACGCAGCTTCGTCGTTGACATCATAGGAGCTCGATCGGCCGTTGCACTACACGGCGATGCTCGGCGACATGGCCATGGCGACGCTTCTTCTTCAGCACAACGCGCGAATCAACGAGCGCAACAAGGTGCTTTCGACGTCACCGGCACACCGCTAACGATGTGTCGCGTAGGCGGGCGAGACACCTCTCTTCGCAGCGATGATGCGTGAACAAACCAAAGTGGCGGCACTTCTTTTGACCGAAAGGGCCAACGCCAACGTCCTCGTGGTAGTACTCCCACTGCTCTTTTGTCATATCTGGGGCAGCGATCAAATCGATGTAATATGGTATAGAACGGACAGAGTGTGCTCTACTGCGCCTGCGAGCGGGGTCTCGCCGACATCATTCTGCTGCTTCTCGCGAATACGACCGACGTCAATGCCAAACACGTACGATGAAAGTCAAAGAAGAAAGCGGCATGACGCTGTGTAGAATGGATTTTCGCCGCTCGCGACAGCGGTTGTCGGCGGGCATGCGGACGTTGCCGCGCTGCTCCTCACGTCGCCCCACATTGATCGTAACGAGCGCTATGAGGTAGACGCTGTCTTTATGACACATGTCGCAATGCGCCAATGGTCGTAGAGTGGCTTGACATTGATGCACCTCGCGGTGAGCTCTGGCAACGGGGACGTTGTCCGAACCCTGCTGCAGGCCGGTTTTGACTTTGACGAAAGAGACACGACGGTACAGTTTACACTGCTGCCTCGTGTCGCGTGTGCGAGAGGCTCTCGGATGTAGATGCTTGTTCGTGCAGTCGACTTGGCGACAAACCTGCAGAACAATGCCGTGCTCGAGGCGTTCCAACCCGTCGAGAACCACGTACACGTCTCCTTTGGAAGCGATCGCTTTTAATGATGAATGGTCCACTAGCGGCGGGAGTTGATGCTGGCGATAGACCGCCATGATGTGCCGGGCTTTGCGGCGCTTCTCCAAGAGCCGTACAGCTGCAACGTCTACGATGAGGTACATACGCCCGCGAGCAGCGAAACGACGACGCACTTATCATGTACCAGGTCGGGTGCTCGCTGGTGCATATGGCCGTCCTTGCAAACAACGAAGCGATGCTCGACCTGCTTCTCGCCAAGCCACGCGTCCGCCTCGCGACACCCAACCACGTACAACGACGATGTTGCTTCCAGCAACCAACCCAGGCTGGATTTGTAGGAGAACAAGACGGAGTCCCGTTCTGAGCACCGAGACTTTCTCCCAAAACACATAAATGTTTTCCTAAGCACATATCCCTCTCTACCCAAAAAAACCCTATTGCTCACCAGCCTTAATACCCTGCCTCTCTCCCTCTCACCCCAACACCCCCACGGATAACCACACCAATCCCTGCTACCAACACCACCTTTCCCCCGGAGGTATAAGCATCCCCGCGCTGCGGGGATGGCATCGGGTCCTTTTTGATGCGTAATCATAATCCACTGTCCGGTTAAACTAGAGGTGACGGCCAATCACATCCTAGCATTTCCTAGCATTTATGTGTTTTGGAAAATGTTTATGTGTTTTGGGATAGAGCCTCGGTGTTTTGAAAAATACTCGAACAAGACGCCACTGGCGATTGCGGTTGAGCGCGGCTATGCCTCGATGGCCAAAAAGATCTTTCATACCGTGCACGCGGCGGTGCATGGGGTAGGCGCCATCTCTCTCTCTCCCTTGTAGCAATATGCCAACGGTGATGGGTCTAGATTTCGGACAAGGACTATGACGTGACGACGACGGAGCTTGGCCGGGGTGGGTTCGGTGTCGTCTACCTCGGTTCGTACGAGGGCCAAAAGGTTGCGGTCAAGAGGGTTCGAAGCGCCAACCACATTTCGTCGATCAAAGCCGAAGTCGACGCACTCCTGGCGTACGGCTGCTTAAAGCATTCAAAGCAATTTTTCTCACGTGTGGTCGCAGGTGCCCGTCGCCGTACCTCGTGCGGCTTGTCGCGATCGCGAACCACGACTCGGCGGCGCCAACGCTTCTGTTTGAGCACATGGACGGCGGCAGCCTTCGTTCGTTCCTCGACAAGAACCGGTTGCACCAACGCACGTCGGCGCGCGTGACCAACCTCCACGTGGCGTGGGTCGTCGCCAACGCTTTGAAGGATCTCCATTTGAGAAAGATGGCGCACCGCGACATCAAGAGCGAGAACGTCCTGCTGAGCTCGAGCGACGAGATCAAGCTCGGCGACCTCGGACTGGCGCGTATTGTGGCCACCGAGATGACGGAAGCGCCCGGTACCCGGTACTGGATGGCGCCCGAGATCCTTCGCGCCAATGGCACCTCATATGGTCTTGCCGCCGACATTTACGCGTTTGGCGTCCTCCTCACAGAGCTCGCCACGGGCCAACTGCCGTACTTTGACCAGGACGTCCAAGACCCGATTGCGTTTAACCGCGGTGTCATCGACGGCTCGCTTCGCCCGACGCTGCCAACCGAGTGCGAGGGGTGGCTGCGCACGCTCACAGACATGTGTCTGCGTGGCGATCCGAAGGCGCGCCCGACAGTCGATCAGATCGTAGAGATACTTCAAAACGAGGTGGCGGCTGCTCCGACAGCGGGCACGGATGTACGCAGCTTGTCGTATCGGTGGCTGCTAACTGCGTTTGGAGTAGGCGCCAACAATGTTCCTGCGTGCGGTGGCAAGTGATAACGTCGACGTGGTGGTGCCGCTCCTCCGCGACGGCCTCTCGCATGGCACTGCGCTTCCGGTATCCAGCCCGACGACCGACGTCCACCAAACGTAGTGTGTAGGGTGACATGTCGCTCTTGGTGGCGGCGACCAACGCGGGTGCGATTGCGACTGTGCGGCTCCTCCTGGATCGCGGTGCCGACGTCAACGCCTTGATCGTACATGACGTTCATGACGGGCCACAGTTACCGTGTGCGGTAGGGCGGTCAAGCACCGCTGCACGAAGCTGCGGCACGAGGCAACGTAGATATGCTTCGCCTTTTCCTCGATGCGGGGGCCGACGCTGACATACAAGACCATGTACGCGTCTCTCTACGAAAGCGGCGCACACCACGAGTGCGTAGGAGGGCAAGACGCCATTGGCGTGCGCAGTGAATGCGGCGAGCGAATCGTGCATCAAGCAGCTTCTCGCGACGGGGGCCGACGTCAGCATTCCTACGACGGTGTCCATGTGTTTCATCGCTATTCGCTGATGGAGGCCACTCGATCTTTAGGGCGGATACTCACCACTCGAGACGGCGCAACAGGCCGATAAGAAAGACGAAGTGCACCGCTTTGTGCCCATGCTCTTGCTCGCGGCGCATCGGGTACCTTGCGAGCCATGGGAAGCGTGGCATGCCAAGGGGGTTGTAGGATGCAAACGCGCCTGAGCTTTTTTGCGTCGCCTGCAGTAGCTGGCACCCGGTCGAGGCTGACTGTTCGTGTGGGTATCAGGCCTCGACACACAACCGCGTGGTGGCGGTGCTGCGCTGCTTGATGCGGCTGCATCATCGCGGCCACGTGGTCAACTGGGCGCGAACGTGCACTACCTGTTGCAAGGCGGCCATGGTTCTCGTAGACACCGTCTGCCCCGAATGCTCGTGTCCGCAACCGAGCACGAACGAAGTTAAAACGATGAGCTCGCGCTTGAAGGTCGCGCTCAAAACTCGTTCCGTACGACATGTGTATGGGTAGCAACAACATTTGAGGCGCGTTGTACTAGGCTACCACCAAGGGACGTGCGATTCCGCACGCTATTCAGCGCTGGCTGACCCACTCGACAACCTCTGCCGCGCCATCGCAGGTGCCGCTGCGGTTGTATCTGCCTCAACACTTCTGGACGGGCCGCAACAAGAACGACGCGCGCCGGACAAGAGCGTCTCAGACACTGGTCCGTGGATGCGTTGCGAGCCCAAGCATAGAGTGATGATGGTGGTATCGTCACTAGGGTGAGTTTTTACCGTGGGTAGCTGGCGGCTGCATTGGCAACGCCGCCCTCGCCCGCGCAAAGTACGCAGCGTCGGCCCAGCCCGTGTTTGAGGTAGTGCAACAAGGATGCAACCGATGGACAACATTTGTACTAGGTGCCCGGCACCGATTTGCCCGAGCCTGGCGTTCCGTTCGAGTTGCACGGCCGGGTCGTCACGCACCGTCACGTGGGCGACGACGACGATCTCGAAGCCATTGCGAGGTACATGCTACCTTCCGTCGACACTGGAGGCCGCAGCGCCTTGTGTGCGTAGATGCACGTCGCCGTTTCTCGTGACGGTCGTGGCCACTGCAGCGCCCAAGAGCATGCTTGTCGAGTTTTTGGTGAGCAAAAGTCTCCGGTGTGTGCTCGAGGATACGTCCGTGCGTGCGACGTGGCCAGCCGATCCAACACTGAAGGTCATGATTCTCTACACCGTGGCCAACGCCCTCGTGGACCTCCACACGCACGGCATCGTCCATGGCCACCTCTCGAGCTACGACGTGATTTGGAGCTCCACGGAGTTTGTTCAAGTCGACGTCCCCGGCATCGTTGGCCTCGACCAAGCGCGTCTAGAGTGGGTGGCCCCCGAGGTGCTTGCAGGCGACTCGCCACCGTCGTTTGCGTCCGACATGTACGCCTTTGGCGTCCTCATGACCGAGCTCGACACGTTTTCGCTGCCATTTGAAGACTACGGTTTGGACGATCGAGTCGCTATAACGACGGCCGTTGTCGACGGCGGTCTGCGTCCAACGCTAGGCGACGACTGCGAAGACTGGTACCGCACACTGGTCGACCGCTGCTTGCACATGGACCCGAGTTTGCGCCCGACGGCGTCCGATGTCGCCAACTTTTGCAAGCGTTCGTCAATGATACCGCGACGGAGTGATCCAGAAAAAGCACGAGACAAAATGTAATAGATGCGATTTTAATCTTATGCTTCGGATATTCTGCCTCGCACATTAATGGCTTGGCCTAAATGCACAAAGCACAGATGGTCCGGACTCGGAGGCGTTTGCATGCTACATGCCGGGATCAGTAGAACACCCCCCAAAACCCCCTCGTTTTGATGAGTATGAGTACCCCAAACCCTCCAAACCCCGTTGGGGCAGATGTTGGCGCATTCCACACACCTTCTTTCTGGCCAATCAAAACCCGCCAAACCCCTGTGGACCATCTGCTCTTTGTGCATTAGGCGATTTGCACATTAATCGACCACGAATCGCAAGGGAAATCTCTGAAGAGTCATCACGTTTTGTGCCAGGCTCCCAACAAGGGAATACTACTGCTAAATGGTATTGTTGGCGCGAAGTGTAGTCAATCCTTCTCACGCGCCGACCTATTGCGCGTCCTGCTCAAGGCGTCTTCCCCATGATGACACCATCGTCACGAGAGACACAAATGCCAAACATTTAAACGGCATTCCAGCCAATCAGAGGCTCTAATAGAGACAAGACAATACTCGACCATGTCGACATGAGAGCTCTCTGCCGCGAGCTACGTCCACGGCAACGTGTCATATTGATTTTGAACTATGATTCGGCTCGATTGATGGACCAATCAAAGCGATGATTGACATGATATCCACCAATCAGAAACCAGATATTTAATTAGAGGTGCACTGTCGAGTCAACTGGGGTCGCGAGTCACTCAGTGCCACACTTTTAACATTTCAAGACACCGCGAGGACGGTGCCAAGTGGCATCGGAGGGATACTATGCAATATATTGTGTCATATTGCCGTACACGTCACGGGCCTCACCCGCGGTCGCAACGAGACAGAAGATCCCGATGCCATGGCCCGGCGAGCGAATCAAGACGAAGGATATTGCTAGTCTCTATGTATGCGAAGTCATTGCAAGAAAACAAAGATAACGCGAAACACGTATATATAAAGTTGGTATTGCTTGCAAAACCTTCAAGTTGACAGTTCTAACAGAACAGTTTAATGGTCGAAGGGATGCTGCCTGACATTCCCTACAGACATAGGCTTGCCGTGTCGAGCGGCTCGCTTTGAAGCTGCATGAGCTCGATACTAGCACTCAGAACGCCCCAAAAGACAACTGCGGTGCTGCCACAGCGTCCATCGCAACGCGGTTTGAGAGAGCGTGTATTCGAGCGGTTATGACCGGACCTATTCTACGAGAACCTACCCACTAGGAACGAGTGTCTTATTTACGTCGCGACTTGGCCGCTCCACTCGGCGCGGCTACGCAATCATTCAGCCTTTGTCCCTACCCAAACGTTTGTCGACAGCGTAATCGTCGTACCTCCTATGGATTTGGTCGGATTCTTATGTGCCTTGGAGCTCGGGTTGTTGGCTGCCTTTATCGACGACACTTTGTACGAAGCGATGCTACCGCCGGCGTTGGCCAGGTTGTTGACCGCTGCCTGGGGCGCGGGTTTTCGGGCCTTGGTCGTCTCGGCCACGTTGGTCGATCGGTAAATATTCTTCTTCTTGCTCGCGTCCGGCAAGACGACGCCCTTGGCGCCTTTTCCAGCGTTTGGAAGCGAGGCATTGATGGGCGGCAGTTCATTGATCTACTTCACATTGCGTCCTCCTGCGCAAGGTTGACACAAATGCCACCTCGTACGCCGTCGACTCCTTCTCCGACGCACCCCCATCCATCGAATATTCATTCTCTTCGTGCGGTTTTGCCAGCATCGGCAGTGGCCGCACCTTCTCGACGTCGTCCTAATTGCATTCTTGTTGGCGTTCTGAAGAATTCCGTTGGACTACCTTGACGCCTTTGGCGCGGTGTTTGGCAGGCGGCGGATTGGCCGCCGAGACACTCGCTTGCTTCCTACGATCGTATGTTTTCAGGTCGATGGGCAATATTGTCTGTATACAGAAAACATGTAGACGTACGGGAGCTGGTCTTGGGCCGCCGCGAGCGCGGCTTCTTCAATTTCGCGCATGTCCCGAAAATACTCGTGCCGAAGTGCTTCGCGCGCGTTCGTGCGCTTGCTCGGGTCGTACACCAGCATCTTGCACATGAGGTCGACCGCTTCCGGCGACGCGTGTGGAATGAGCTTGGCTACAACGTTGCCACGTCAGTTGATAGATTGAAACATGCAAAATACAAAAATGCAAAAATACAAAAATGTACCGATGCTCGTGCCGTCGTCGTGAGCAAAGTTAAAGTCAATGTGGGCCGCACCCTTGCGTCGAAAGACGTCGAGCACGTCTGGCAGCGGTGTGCCGAGGATCTTGTGGATGCGGTTGATCTGGTCGAGTTCGTTGGAGCCCGGGAAGAGCGGGTACAAACTCGTGATTTCAAAAAAGACACATCCGACGCCCCAGAGGTCCATTTCGGGACCGTAGTACCCGTCCGTGAGGAGGCACTCGGGCGCACGGTACCAGCGCGTCGAAATGTACTCGGTGTACGGCTGCTTGGAGTAAATACCGCGGCAGCTGCCAAAGTCGGCGAGCTTGAGAAACTCGTTGTTCTCGACGAGGATGTTTTCGGGCTTGATGTCGCGATGGAAGATGCCCTTGTTGTGCATGTGGTCCAGCGACTTGACGAGCTGGTACATGAGCGACCGAATGAGCTCCGGGTTGAGGTACGTTCGTCGACCCCGGATCATTTCGTAGAGGTTGGCGTCCATGAGCTCAAACACGAGCGCGAGGCGTCCTAATCGACCATGGCAAGGAGGCGGTGAGAATGCCAATCAGATCTGGTTGGCCTACCAGACGGTTGGTCGTACAAGACTTCTTCGAGCTTGATAATGTGCGGGTGCGGCGAGAGACGCCGTAGCGCCTGGATCTCTCGGAGATTGTTCACTTGGTCAATCGACTCGAAGTGGTTCTTCATGCACTTGATCGCATGGTACTTGGAGTCCTTGACGTTCTGCGCCTTGAGCACCTCGGAGAACGTGCCCTCGCCCTTCTTGGACACGAGCCGGTACTTGCGCATCGCCGACGACGTCGGTCGGATAGTCGGCCGACCTATTTCTGGCGGGCTCCACGCGAGAGCTGCAACCGCCTCGGCTTAAAATACTTGCGATGACTTCTAGTCTAAAAGTTAGTCGACTACGAACGGCAACAGATTCCAAGCTCGTTCTCGATACTGCCACCGCGCCAGTCACCGCTGTGCGTACTACCTGATATACATGGTAAATGATGTCGCGTGTAGTTGATCTAGACGACTCGACAACCATCAAGCTCACTGGCATGTCACCTTTGACATCTTCTAGTCGATCGATGTCTACGTGTTGCAGGTTATCAAATTTCGACTAGAGTCACGCAGCCGCTAGTTGGGGACACCTGCTAGTACTCGTTCAAGGTCATCGGGCAATGCTATAAGACGCTGGAGTCGACGATGTCGTGTGGGTCGCCGACATGGAAAGCCCAGTGGAAAGTTTATGCGCACATTTTGTGTGTAGTTAGTGTATCGTATGTACTAACTAACGATCTTCACCGAGCATTCACCACCTGCACCGCATATGTGTTGTCAAATGAGATATCATACGGCCAATGTACATTATAGACAGGTGAACGTGAGGGCTAGTTGGCGAGGTGGGCGGGTGGAAGCCGCTTCGACACCATGCGTCGAACGTCGGCTCTGTGACGCATCCCCCTCCGGCAGTCGGTCCGATTTCAGCCAATCGCAGGTGGTTCCAAACCTTCTAGCGAATCAGAGACGAGAACGCCGTTTGCTGCCCCAATCAGCGCGTCGTCGAAACATCGACGCAAGAGCTTCAGGCCGAGGAGCATGGGCAACAGCAGCAGCAACGCCCGGCGCCGAGCGTCGTCCGCGCGGAGGCGCGCCGAGTCCACGCCGCAGATGTCGCCTGTCCCGACGACCGAGCCGCCAGCGCGCGACCGCCCGGCGTCGCAGCGCCGTTCGCTGACCGACCTTCCGACGACGCAAGGTGGCATCGAGCGTGGTCAAGAGGCGGTCGAGGACGCGACCGATCAGCTCGGGTACTGGTCGCTGCTGCGCCATGGCTACGAGAGCTTGGTGAATCTCATCATCCGGCCGCCGCGGGCGCAGTACGACGTCGACGAGCTCGG